ACCCTACGTAAACATACTGGAAGATATTTACAGTGGATCCACAGCCACCATAGTTCTTCATAAAGAAAGGGACAGAACTTTTATAAAGAAGGGTGTAAGGCATAGGAGACATGACCACTCCAATGCTATTCACGGCGTGTTTACAGGTGGTTTTCAGGACCATAGATTGGGAAGAGTTCGGCATAAAAGTTATTGGAGAGTATCTTAGTAACCTGCCATTCGCTGATGACATTGCCTTGATAAGTAACTCAGGGGACAAATTACAGCTAATAATTACATAACTGGACACGGAAAGCAGAAAAGTATGCAGGATTGATAATCAATATGCACAAAACTAATGCGCACCTGACTCGACAGAAAACAGCACTTTGCGATATAAATGGAGAGACGCTGGAAGTTGTAAAGAAATATGTCTACTTAGGACAGGTAGTAATTGAGGAGCCGAACCATGAGAGAAGAATAAGGATGAGGTGGATCACAATCGGCAAACATTCTCAATTCATGAAAGGTAATGTATATAACAGCTGTATCTTGCCGGTACTTAGCTATGGAGCAGAAACCTGGAGGCTTACAAAGAGGGTTCAGCTTGAATTGAGGACGACGCAGCGAGCTATGGAAGGAAAAATGATAGTTGTAAGAGACAAGAAGAACACAGCGTGAGTCAGGAAACAAACCGGGGTTAATGATATCATAGTTGAAGTTAAGAAGAACAAATAGACATGGGCCAGGCACGTAGCACGTAGGCAGGATAACCGCTGGTCATTAAGGGTAACTGACTGGATTCTCGGAGAAGGCAAGCGCACAAAGGAGAGTTAGAAAGATGGGTGGGCCGATGAGATTTCAAAAGTTTGCGGGCATAACGTGGCAACAGAAAGCACAAGATGAGGTTTATTGGTGGGTCATGGGAGAGGTCGTTGCTCTGCAGTGGGTGTAGTCAGGCTGATGATGATAACTTAAGAGCGTACAAGATTGATTGTGATCGAGAAAGACTAAATCACTAATTAAGAACTGTGATATGGCTAGGATATCTGCTGCAGCCGGCAAATTTCTCAGACAAAGATCTCACTGATATGGTTCCCAGCTAGAGTGTATTACAACTGTTGAATGACGTGAATGCACCTCGCCGCCCGATGCCTTCCGCTTTGACCATAGCGGCGGCGCTGCAGTCGATTAGTACTGAAGCACATCTAACTTCAGTTAAAGCCGCGCGCAATAACTGCTATGAGCTCCGGCTCCCCCAGCGCACTTTTTTGATGCAGCTTTTTTTTGTGCTTGCCCACCAATCACGTCTAGCCATGCTGTCATAACTCTTGAGGGGTGACACTGAATTTCTGTTACATAAAAGCCCTTGTAAGAGATCGACACAGTGAAGCTTTGTAATCTCGGCATTATTACCCTATTTGATTGAAGTTTGATGTGCTTCAAGGTAATTTTGTACTGTGAACATCAACATTTGCACGTATTCTAAAACAGCTGCTGGCGCGTAAATTAATAATTTGGCGTAGATTTAAGAATTATAATTATTGCGAGTAAAAATACGCTGTAAAAAGCACACAGAACCAGAATGCCGTAATTAGAGGCGGGAGAAAGAGGAAATCCGAACCCCCTACACCTAGATATTTTTCATGCTTTTCAGGGACCCTTCGGCAAACAACCCCCCCACACCATACCCCCAAAAAATCTTGTGTAACCCTGCGCCAAGTGTTTACCAATGGCAAAGCTGAGCTTAGTGTATCTCTTTACAAATGTGCAATGTAGATTTGACTTTTTCGACAACATGATGTCTCAAAAATATTTCAAGTCGGACGAGAGATGCACCGCGTATGCAAATAGCGGTGCCGTTCTAAGGGGCATGCACGGATAATGATAATGAAGCGGTAGACGTAGATGTCATTTATTTGCGTGTGCTATGTATATATATATATATATATATATATATATATATATATATATATATATATATATATATATATATATATATATATATCAGGGAATGGAGTGTTCGTTTTTCTGCATTTCGAGACATTATTAATTAATGAGATCTAACGGACAATAATGCCAAGAAAACTATAAGGGAAGTTATTAGACCGAATTGTATTGTAAATGTGAAGAAAGAAAAGTGGGTGAAAAGATAACTTGCCATGGGCAGGAACCGAGCCTGCGACCTTCAAATAACAAGTTCGATGCTCTAGCACTGATCTACCACGGCGGCTATCCTCCCAGCCACTTTATTGGGTATATATGTGAATTTAAACGTGGGAGTATCAGTCAGCGCCATCAGTAGCCATGGCGGCGAGTGTGGCACACTCTTTAAGAGCCTGTGTGATGTCACGTAGCACGTGAACTTATTCCGAGCTGGTAGCTGACCAATAGTCCCTCGTATATAATCTAAGGCACCAAGTATGCCAGTACGAGACCCTCCTTAATCATTAAGGGAAAGAAGTGTATACTTAAGGGCACGTTTTCCGTCTTTTGACACATTACTACAAGAAAAGTATAGGAGAAGTTGTAATTGTATTGTAAATGTGAAGGAGGAAAAGTCGGTGAAAAGATAATGTGCCGTGGGCGGGAACCATGTGTGCTATATATATACATATATATATATATATATATATATATATATATATATATATATATATATATATATATAGTCAAGTAGATCCTCCGTGAACGGTCACAATGTGGTTTATTTCGACGTTTCGGCCTAGAGTCTGGCCTTCATCAGGATCCTGATGAAGGCCACGACAGTCTTGCATCTGGAGAGAGTGAATAAAACGTTTATTCGATGTTCTGCGCAAGAAAATCGGTGAATGGTATTCTGGAGGCGCTGCGTTAAAGTGCCTCGAGCGTGTAGCGGAGGCGAACGAGCGCATCAAGTCACGTCACACGTGAGACATGAGCGCTGTTTGGCAGTTATTTTGGAAAACGAAGCGCGTGGCGTGCGCGCTCATCTCAGAGGATAAGGTGTAAGAACCCAAGGCGACGGGTAGGTGCCACCACCGTGTCGTCTTAACAAAGCGTTGGGAACACTTTAAAAGACACACATGTGCAGAATATTGACAAGTTGTTACGGTGCCTTAATATGCACAATAATTGCATTTTAATTGACAATTGCACAAGTATGAGCGCTGAATCTTGAGCAATATTGGTGGGCGCTACGGATGGGGTTGGCCATTAGAGGTATTGTTTGGTGCCGTTTAGAGTATTGTTAAAAACGGACAGACAGACAAATGTACAGACAGACAAACCAAAATTTTCGCTTCGAAGGTCCCCAAGAAAGACTATCGTCTTTAATAAATAAAAGAATCCTGCATTCAGAGGGTGAATCGAACCAAGGTTTTTTTGGGTCCAAATGGGGATCGAACAAGGGTCGTTTGCGTGGCAAGCGGATGTTCTACCACACGGCCACGCGTCTGCTTGTGAACACAGTAAAAAGAACTCCCTCTGCTTGGAAATGCAGTGAAAGTAACTGTGCACATGCTCCACAATGCAACTTGAAATATTACAGTAACAATGCATGGTACAAGCACGCATTGCCAGCGGGCGTTAGAACATGTGATTATCATTATAGCTTCGTGGTTTAAAGCCAGTCACTCCCAACAACAGGCACGCATGGTACTGCACCATAGTGGGTGCGTAGTTCGAAAAGGTTTCATGGATTAAGTGTTCGAAGTACGCACAAAGGTCCCCTAATGTTTAAATTAGAAATCGTGAAAAAGAAACATCGTAGGCACGTTGTAAACGGTTGCAGATACCGAATTCGTAATAACTTCGCTAATGCATACGTGCTTCAGTGTCTTTTTAACATAGTACAACTATATACTGAACACATGCATAGAAGTGGCTCAGACTTTATTTCCCCCGATTCTGAGCAATGGCTTGGCTAATAAATGTTTAGGAAGTGATGCAAGAGGAAGTGCTTGCATTCAGTTTCTAACGAATTGCAGCATAAACTTGATTTATATTACCTGGGTTGTTGCATGACCAAACTTATCCGACATAACTGTGAGGCAAGGTGTAGCGGAGAGCTCGGAAAATGTTAACCAAATGAGCTTTTTCACTGCCAACAGTTCAACTTAAATATTATTTAAACTGTTCAGAAGCATCTGCTCGTGTCCCGTGACAAGTTTTCCACTAGATCTGTTCACTGCCTCACTATGTAAATACTTCAGGAGCACTGATGAAAAAAGCGATGATTTGTTTTGAAAGAACAGCACATGTCCTTGTTTTTGACGTCTTTTGGTTCAGAAAGTGTGGCATAATTGCAAGTTTAGCTGATGGCAACTACGACTAAACGTTTATAAGCATTGCCACTGTAAGCGCAGACACACTTATCATGAAATGCTTTCTCAGCTTTGCTTATTTCTAGCAGCAAGGGTTCAGTGTTATCTCTAAAACTCAAAATACAGTTAGAATTGTAGCGGTACCACTTGGACAATAAAGAAAGAATGCTGAATACAAGTGCGCCTTTTCAATGATGGACCCAAAATTGGTGGTGGCAAAGAGGTGTACGAAATTTTTTCCTGGTATTAAAAGTTTGTCACTACTGTTTCTAATAATGGCCACAAGAGACTTGATAAACGCTTTGTGAATGGGCATAAGAAGCTTCAGTCAATTAAATCAGTTTACCCCCAAGAGAAAGCTGGTAAAAGATGCACATGATAATTATATGTGGGGTTTAACGTCCCAAAATCATCATATGATTATGAGAGACGCCGCAGTGGAGAACTCCGGAAATTTCAACCACCTGGGGTTCGTTAATGTGCACAGAAATCTGAGCACACGGGCCTACAGCAGTTTCGCCTGTATAATAAATGCAGCCGCTACAGATTCGATCCTGCAACCAGCGGGTCAGCAGAAAAATACCCTAGCCATGACGGGGCAAGAGATGCAGAGAATATTAGAGCACTGGCAAACAGTAGTGCACCCATCTGCAACTGGCACTTTTTTTGAGCACATCTTGCCAACAGAGCAGCAACACATGACACTCACGCATCAACCAGAGAATCAAAATATAAAACTTTTACTCGCAATCTTCATTCTAGAAGGCACACACGGGCGAGAGTCAATAGTTGCCAGGCTGAGTCTCGCGCTGCTGCTTTCCGCAACGCGACAAGCACAGCCCGGGACTGATGGAGCTGGTGGTTGTGTCCACAATGTTCCAAGGGGAAGAAAAAAAAAAGTTTGCGTGGCAAGCTTCAGCAGCACAGGCTCGCATACTACGCACACACTCACACACACACACTTGCACGCGCTAGAAGGGGAAAAAAGAGCAAGGGGGGTGCTGCAGACAGGCTGCCACCCCCATCATTGCAGTTACCCTGGTCTGGAGTCGGGATCGTTGTCCTTGGTAAATTAGAACAGTACTCGACCCGGAAGTGCACAATCTGGCACACTGCATAGTGGGGCTTCCATCCAAACATTTGTTCTTACTCCATGACAGTTCATCGAAGAGTCCACCAGACAAGCAACAGCCTTTTTGTTTTTTCTCAGCACTACTCACTTTTTTCTGATCAAAGCAGCAGCACAGTGTGGCCACCTCAAAGCGCTATTGCAACCAGGTGCATGCAGCCCCTGCCCTTGCCCAGACTGGAGTTGGATGTTCAGTTCGTGCATTCTTGCAGCCAGTGGGATTCGGTGCGACATTCAATCTTCAGAAAGACGATGTAGCCCGCGCTGCAAATGATCCGTCACTGTAACCGTGCCTAGACTTTCGCCTCCTCAGTGGTTATTTCAAGTATTCAGTAGGATGTGGAGCAAATCACACAGTTGAACATCACTCACATTCCATCTGTCGAAAAGCAACAACGCGACCCAAAGCTGGCGATACCTGTCGTCAATGCGCTGCGGGGCGTCGGCGATGAAGATTGTTCGGTTCTCCATTGAAAGGGTTGCACAGCAAGAGCTACATGCGACAAGTCACTCAAAAAGCACTAATGCCAGTAAAAAAAAGAGAAAAGGCTAGGCTTTCGAGGTCAAGCACTCAGGAACATGCTCGGGCAATAGCGGTGCCGAGTACTCGCCGCGACCTCCATTTTTTTTTTTTTTGCCCGCTACTTCTCACAGAACTGAAACACCTCACGCTTGAAGTCTGAAAACTGTTCCAGAGCACACAAGCAAATGAATTAAATGAATGATTAAAAAAAAAAGAACTTGGTGCTCCTGTGAAACAAGGCCCATGTTTAGCCAAGTGTGAAGACGATAGTCGCTGCACGAGAATCGCCGATGATGATGTAGCTGGCACGGCTCAGGCTCGTAATGATTGCAGCAACTTGAGCTTAGAGTCCAGCATGGTCCCTAGCTCCTTGAGCGAGTCTGCGTAGCTCTGTTCGATCCTCTGCCGCACCAGTTTGCTCAATTCCTCGCTTCCCTGCAGTTGGATGGGGGACAGTAGGTGTAAGCTCTATGCAACGACGCCACTTTAGTCTCAAAACCTTCCTCAAGAAGACGTTTATACTTCTGGCAGTACACACACAGTGAGAGGTTCCCACTTGGGGTGTGTATAATTTGACCGTTTTGAAATATCAAACCGAACAGGCGCTACTCGTAGGTGCAAACAAATACTTTTCCAATTAGCCCAAATATACTTCAGCATAGCAACCACACTAAAGTACACTAAATGGGTACAAGTAAGTAATAAATTTGACAACAAGCATTTGTAGCCTTGGTATAAAGGGTCGAAGCCTGAATAGTCATGGCGTCGACCTTGGCCGCCTATACAATGATTGACCCCAATCTCTCAAAAGCCTTGTGCAAGCGAAGAATCTGAGCACTTAATTTCAAATGATGTACTCTAATTGCAATTTTACTGCCAAAATTATCCATACTAGGATGCAAAAATTCTTTAATATGAACTGAAAAATGATTGTTCCTTATTCGATACAAATAGCTGCAGGCATTCTTCAATCCATATTTAAGTCATTCACGAAAAGCAATGTGCCCACACTGATATTTGAAACTTAAAACATTAAGAGAAAGAGCACTACAGTGAAACACCCAATAACAAATTTTTTGGGACCATCAACATACTCAATCATCCAAGCTGTTTCATGGTGAAGATTGCACACCATATTTATGATGCGGGCTATGGAATAAGACACCAGGAGCAAACACTGTTCTTAAATGTAGCTCTTGTTTTATTGGCACTATGTCCACTAATGGAGGCAATTAACTACACTCAACAAAGCAACACAATGAACCTGGACATAGACAAGTTTCAGGAGAACGCTGGAAAAGTGAACAGGTTCATAATTTGCAATAGTATTGATCTGAAGTTAAAGCACATCTTGGGCAGTCTTGAGCTTAGAAAAAGTCCGAATAAACTGATCAAGTCCTCTAAAGGCTCACTAAAAATGTAGAAGTTTACACATCGGCTTTTGACCCGTGCTTTCTCGTCTAATGTGAACATTAGATTGGGAGGCCTTTTGCATGCTTCATTCAAGGCCCTCTTTCCCACAAACAACCGCTGCAGACAGTGTGCTTCACTGCATGACAATTACTTCTCTATCAGTAAACAGTGTGAGTATAGCCGACACAAAACCCTGGCACATGCTACAAAATAGTGTGTCTCAATTGTGCAAGAGCAAGACATTATCAGGAGTTTCGAAGGTTGTATACACAGGCAAACTATCTGCGCCGTAATTGGGCTTATGCGTATATCCAAATGCTTCAAACATTTGAACTCGCTTCGAATGAAAATTTGGACCTACTCAATGTTACGTCACTGCCAATGTGCAGACAGCTTTGAAACTAAGTGCAATGTGAAGCTCTACGCTTGTAAAAGATCACACTGTTCGATGAGCTGGTTATTTGTGACAAAGAAAATCAGCCCGAAGGAACTTAAAGCAACACATAGGTGTCAGACGACACTAATCTTATCCTTTTTCCAGTTCCACGCAACAGAGCGATGCCCAAGCACACAAACAACTACTGTTGCATCTGACAGTGACAAGGGAAACCAACCTGAAGGAATGGCTCCTCGTGGTCAAGGTTCAGGGAAGCCATGAGGTTTGCTAGCATGTCTGCGGGCGCCTGCAACACCACAGCCTGGAGGTCTGCGGCTGCTGACTCCAGCTCACCTACCAGCGAGACGAAGCACTTTGCGGATGCCTGAAAAGCATGCCGGTTATACAGCACAATTTTGTAATGGTTTCGACCGACAACAAGCAACCACCATATGCCATCCAGAACACAATCGAGGCATCTTTGCAACGCAATGCCCTACTGATGGAATGTATTAGGATACCGCAACAATGTTTACACTCAAACCTAATCATAACAAGGTTGCATATTACATGAAAATCAGTTTGTTACATCCGAAAATTCGTTATAAAGGTATATTCCTAACACTATCTACTGCAAGACTAGTCTTCCTTTGCTTCATTAAAATTGATTTTTTCGTCATATTCAGGTTCGTTAAATTGAGGTTTGAGTGTATAGCATAGAATTCAATTGTACAGTTTCCAAGAAAAGAAAAAAAAGGGGGTTTGGTTAGATGCACACCAAACTTCACTTAGTAAAATTTTTTTTAAATGAAGCAGTGAAGCCTAATGTGAACTATCGGCACTCTTTTGCAAGACTATTCTAAAACTTTCATGTAGGTCAACTTCATTATAAATCTGACCCCTCCAAGAAGTTCATGCAAGGAAACAATGCAGTGACAGTCTGAACGTAATGCTGTTCCTGTGTTAAAGAAAGGCAAACCCTTCAGCGTTCAACCTAAAAGCTTCCAAGTTTATATATATATATATACACACACACACACACACACACACACATATATATATATACAGTAAAATCTTGGTAAAACAAACCCCACATTAACGAACTTTTCAGATTAACGAACTTTTCCCGTGCCGACAGCTAATAGTTTATTTCGCTACTACGTACTTCAGAATATCGAGCTTTTCAGGATAACGAGCGTTAATTTAGTTCTGCATTATCTTAACAAAGCCTCAATGCTACGAACTTACGTTTTGCAATTCATCGCGACCACCGGAGCGGTATGCAAGTAGACGACAAAGCGAACGGACGCCTTGCTTTTCAGAAAACGCGTGACAGTGCGGAGGGAAAAAAAAAAAAGGGGAACTTTTTCTTTTTTATTGAAGCGCCGACGCTGCAGGTTTACAAGCGCAGAAGCGAAGGCAGAATGGGAGTTGCGAAGCAGGAAGCATGGGCGCGGAAAACCTGACTGAGACAGCGAGGGAGCAGAAAACGAAATGCGACGAATTTTCTTTTTTAGCACTTTCTTTTCTTCGGAAGAGGCGATGACAGCCGCAATGCTTCGGGCTTTTCTTTTTTTTTTGTCACTTCCACATGCGCTCTAGGACAAAGCGCTCGTGTCCTACTTGTCTCTTTGTCGTCATTCTGTTCTCGCGCTATAACAATTGTCGTGCTGGGGTCCTTCGTGCTACAAAGCTTGTGCTGCACGTGTAAAAAAAAAAAAAAAAAAAAAAAATCAGATTATTTTAATGTAAACGTGCATTTTTTAGTGTTCACTTGTGCATTAGTTTTTTTCTGGTGAATAACGAGTTCAAGGACCCACCGTTGTAAAGGTAAGTCGTTTTGGCCAGTGCAAAATAAATATTTATGGTTAAGTTTTGGGCTTTACTATAACAACCTTTCAATATAACAAACGAATTGCCGCGGCCCCATGAAGTTGGTTACACCAAGATTTCACTGTGTGTGTGTGTGTGTATAGATATATAAAGCAACTGATGCACAAAGCCACCCTTTTATGCAATGTTAATTTTTCCTCCTTAGTACTTATTGGCACTCCTCTCTGTAAATCGTAGCCTTCTAGGGTATCGTGATGATGCTGCTTACCTCCTCTATTGAGCTCGTCTCTTTAGTCTTCTTTTTGCCCTTCTTGGCAACTGCCTGACGTGAAGGCCTCGCTAACGAGCTGCCCAACGCTGCCACTAGGCTGCACCATCCAATCACCTGTGGCCAGGCACGACAACTGCTCATCACCCGCTCACATACAACACATGCACACACCCTTAAAGGGGCTGTCTACTGCTCAGAAAAATTTATCCAATTGTGGCACAAATGAGAAGATTGTTCATCCTATCGGCTGCAACGAGCATGCTTTCGTCCTATAAAAAATTGAATTACAATTTTAACTTGATGTTAGCATCATTCAACAGCAATGCGGTCAATCTACTGGTAGGACAAGAAACCCTCGCGAGTACACTCATTATGCTTCAAAACAAATATGTATAATTTGAAGTGGTAATAGACGGTTATAGTTTAGCGCTAGCGTGATAGCGTAAGTTAAGGGAATGGCGTTACCGTGCAGCAAGCGCTCGTTGTGGGCAGCGTCTTATAGTTTAGCGAAATAGTGCTTACGTGGTTTACGTGCCCCAAATGGGTTAGTGGCACCACCTATTAGATGGTTAATAAGCTAAACAGTGAAAATGAAAAGAAAACGAGAATGTTTGCCTATGCCATCGCGCGAAGCATTGTTAGAAGTTTAATTTTGTGATAATAAAGGTAAATAAATATAAACCACGCACCAAACGCGAAAACATCTACGTTGCCGATTTGTTTACATCGAAATGAGAAGCTATCTCAAAAACTACACCAACTTATCCGTAATACTCGGTCATCGAAGCTAACTGAAGGCAAGCGAAGCCACTTAGAACAGTCGTTTGCGGCGGACAAGGTGAATCTTTCAACAACTACGCCAAAATCACTTTGAAGCGGGCGTCCGGGAGCGCCGCCATGTTTACGTACACTTACGCTACTACGGTAACCTTATATCTGAAAAATACCGCGCGTACGGGAAGCAGCACGGGTGGCGTACGTATCTGCCCATGCGCACTTCGATTCCAGTATCACGGTACACTCGGTAACCCGGTAAACCCGGTTGTGATGAGTGAAGAAAACGATGACAACGACGAAAGTGCGGGGCAAGGCGCGCGTGATTTCGAGCCAAATGTGCGCGTGAGGTCAGCCAATCAGCTGATGACCTGTGGTGGTCCATAGAGGTAGCGTGCCACAATTGGGCCACGTGTGACCATTACGTGGCGGTAGGCTTTGTGGCTGGGGACGAGCCGAAGCAGCGGCAGACGGAAGACAGCGGGCCGAAGCGTCGGACGCAGGCGATCCAGGTTCCGGCCGGGGAACGCGGCTGTCCACGCTACTGCCGTCCAACTACCAGCTGGGGTGGCGTGGCCGGCACGAGTACTGCATCTCGGGGCGCGGCCTGGCCTGCTGTTCTCTTCCTTGCCGAGGGCATCGGGGATCTCGGCGAGGCGTCTCCGTGGTCAGACGTTCGGCACAGCGACGTACGTGGCCTGGCTAATGGTCGCGGTTGCGCCGAGCATCGCGTCTCGACGGAAGCTGTTCGCTGGACGGGCTGGCCATTTACACGCATGGAGCATCGCGTCTCCGATGTGGGTTGACTGCTCCGTAGTCGTACCCACGCCCCCACTCCGCCAAGCGCCGGTGTCACCAGAGCGTCGTACATCGGCAAGTTCGTGGGCGAGGCCTACTGGGTGTGGTCCTTGTGAGCCGTGGCCTGATCCTGGACCTCAGTCAGGAGTTGCGACCCTGACTGCTGGATTGGCCGCGACGTCTGACTCAACGGCGCTGCACACGGTAGCGCATCCGTGTGCCGTCAGCCGTTCCAGCCGTGCCACCTTTGCCCTCGCGCACGTCGACGACAGCATCATGTCGGGACGACGGGGACCCAAACTGTGAGACAGCGGTTTCTTCTTACGAACCGAGAACTATACGCGCTGGACACTGAGTTAGCGTAGCCGCGAACTCTGCGCATATTAATGGCGGTCTGACTCTCGTGCATGTTGCGTGATGCTTGGCATATAGGGTTGCATATATAGTTTTATTTTCTCCTGTCACTTCCTTCTCTAGTGTACAATATAAAGCTTCTTTTGTTCGCTTAAATTGTTCATGTTAATCTTTTCTTGTCCGCTATAAACAAACATAGTGACGAGCGTCCTTAACCATCATAATATCTGGCGTCCGCGACAGGACTAAGCTCTCGCGTTACATCTGAGAGCCTCACGTTGTTTGTGTGTGGCAGACGAGAATGGACGACAAGAGAAAGCTAGTTGAGCTAGGGAAGGAGATGGGGCTGAGTGGAGAGGCTTTGCTGGCATGGGTGAGCGCTGAGGAAAAAGAAATGAGGGACCAGAGAGCGAAAGATAGAGAGGAGGCACGTCAATCAGCACAGGTGGAGCATGCGTGAAATAGCTCGCATGGAGGCTGAAAGGCTCCTGCTCGAGGAGCGACGTCGTGTCGCAGAAGCGCAGCGTCCGAGCACGAGTTCTGCGGACGATAGTATGGGTGGTGGTCAGAGTTTACGCAGCCCACACAAAATGATTCCGCCCTACAATGAGAGTAGGGACGAACTGGATGCATAAATCCACAGATTTGAGAGGGTTGCCACGAGCCAAAGCTGGCCAACCGACAAGTGGGCCCTGTCACTGAGCTTGTGTCTAACAGGTGACAACTACGGCAGTTTTAGGGACATTGTAAGTGAACAGCGCTTGACATTATGAGTTGGCGTTTGGCATAGGCGCATAGCAGTTTTCATTCATTCGTTCTGTTCACAGAATGTAGTTACTTGGGGTAAGAAATCATGAGTGTACCAGGAAGCTCTATACTGTTTAGTACATAAGAGAATGAAATCTTTTGCAGTGATTGGTTTTTGTTGCCCGTATGCATGTTTAATTTAAAAAGTTATCATTCTTTTGGACTGTATCATTGTAAAGACAGATCGGCGTTTCCATTAGTGTCATCTCCGGATATTGTTGGAAGTTGCATGTTCTTCTGTCCCTCATCACTTTGTTGTGTGAGAAAAGTTGTTTTGTGGAAACAACTTTCTTGTGTGTGGGGTTATTGTGATGAGTGAAGAAAACGATGACAACGACGGAAGTGCAAGGCAAGGCGCGTGTGATTTCAAGCCAAATGTGCGCGTGAGGTCAGCCAATCAGCTGATGACCTGTGGTGGCCCATAGAGGCGGCGTGCCACGATTGGGCCACGTGTGACCATTACATGGTGGTAGGCTGTGTGGCTGGGGACGAGCCGAAGCAGCGGCGGACGGAAGACAGCGGGCCAAAGCGTCGGACGCAAGCGATCCAGGTTCCGGCCGGGGAACGCGGCCGTTCACGCTGCTGCCGTCCAACCACCAGCTAATGCGGCATTGCCGGCACGAGTACTGCATCTCGGGGCGCGGCCTGGCCTGCTGTTCTCTTCCTTGCCGAGGGCATCGCGGATCTCGGCGAGGCGTCTCCACGGTCAGCCGTTCGGCACAGCATGAACGTGGCCTGGCTAATGGTCACGGTTGTGCCGAGCATCGCGTCTCGACGCAAGCTGTTCGCTAGACGGGCTGGCCATTTACACGCATGGAGCATCGCGTCTCCGATGCGGGTTGACTGCTCCGTAGTCGTACCCACGCCCCCACTCCGCCAAGCGCCGGTGTCACCAGAGCGTCGTACATCGGCAAGTTCGTGGGCGAGGCCTACCGGGTGTGGTCCTCGTGAGCCGTGGCCTGATCCTGGACCTCACGAGTTGCGACCCTGACTGCTGGGTTGGCTGCGACGTCCGACTCAACGGCGCTGCACACGGTAGGGCATCCGTGTGCCGTCAGCCGTTCCAGCTGTGCCACCTTTCCCCTCGCGCACGTCGACGACCCCATCATGTCGGGACGACTGGGACCCAAACTGTGAGACAGCGGTTTCTTCTTACGAACCGAGAACTAGACGCGCTGGACACTGAGTTAGCGTAGCCGTGAACTCTGCGCATATTAATGGCGGTCTGACTCTCGTGCATGTTGCGTGATGCTTGGCGTATAGGGTTGGATATATAGTTTTATTTTCTCCTGTCACTTCCTTCTCTAGTGTACAATATAAAGCTTCTTTTGTTCGCTTAAATTGTTCATATTAATCTTTTCTCGTCCGCTATAAATAAACATAGTGACGAACGTCCTTAACCATCACACCAGTATACTATAACTCCCTATTTTATGCACTTCAGGCAGCTTTAAAATGTATAATTTGAAATTGTATTTTACGCACTTGAGGCAGCTTTAGATTGTGGCAGAGACTAAGTTTCGCTTTTTCTTTTTTTCGCATTTGCTCAAATAGGCGCTCGGTGGTGCTGCCGGCAGTGTATTCATTTGGCTGCAAGCCTGCCTGCAAATAGTGGAGATATGTGAGCACGGCATTCACTTCCGCTCATAAGAACAACAAAAAAATTATGGACCACCTCCTCGTAGGGAACCATGATGGAATTTAAAGCAGCAGCGGTGCACACACCGTTGAGCCGGCTGAAACGGGCGACGACACGGGTGCTGGAAGAACGATTTGCAGCGGTACTCAGTGTAGCCTTTACTTGAGCAAACTTTTTTTTTTTTTGAAATGTAGCGACATCGATGTACAGGTTGGGTTTTGTGTTAGTTTCAGTGCAGATAGACGAGCCTAAAGAGTGTCTCTGCTAGACGTGCGGTCGAGCGTTGCGGGTGGTGGAGAGGGTGAAGCGAGAGAGAGGTGTGCTGCGAGCGGACGGAGGAGCAACATCATTTAGGTGTGTTGGGAGGAGCCAGCAGCTGCTACTGGTGAGGGTGAGAGTGACAATGCACAGCTGCAACTTGACCTACTTGGCATCATTCCAACAACTGCAGCGGGAGGAACGCGGTGCGGCACGGAGATACGGACGGACAGCGTTACACAGGCTAGCCAAAGAGCTGCTTCTCATCTAAAAGTGCGTGTGTGTACCTTAAATGGTACTATAGTACTAAGGTACTATTTGTTTTGTTAATAAACGAAGCTTGAGGGAGCCTGTGAAAAGCACATGCGGTTTCAGTTAGCAACTTTCACCGACAGTACAATTGTCATCACCTCCACCAAACAGTGTTGCGGGCATTCATCTCAATGATGGAAGGAGACGAAACACTGATATAAAAATTCTGTTT